GGGGGCTGCTGTGCTGGCAAAGCCCCTGACAGAGCCCGGACACAACCCCTGGTGCCACTGTGGACATCCCCACCCACCCTGGGGCACAGGGGTGGGGACAGGGTCGCCCCCCGTTACCTTTGAAGCGGTGGCTGAGGATCTGCTCGAGGATGGCGGCGAAGTTGACGAACTCCTCGGAGGAGTCAGCGATGGGACCCGCCGTGTACTTCTCCAGGAGGGTCTTCACCGAGAACCTGGCGAGGGTTTGGGCTTCACAGGGCGGGAGGGGACAGACCCCTCACCACCCCTCACCCACCACCTGGCACGGGCCGGGTTCCGGCGCCGGAGCAAAGTGCTTTTCCAGCCGTTGGCTCCCGCTCCCGGCAGCGGGAAGAGGGCGGCGGGGCTGGGCTGTGGCTCGCTGACCCCCCGTGTCCCCACGTCCCCGGGGACCCCCGGGGGCGGCCGCCGCTCCCCGCCGAGCAAGTGGCCAGGAAGGGCGAACAAAGGCCCCTTCCTCCCCGGCCGTGCGCGGGCGGTGATGGCTTCCCCTTCCGCCCGGCCGCTCGTGCTCCCAGCACAGCGATGCCCAGGACACGGCGCCCGCCGAGCCCGGCTGCACGGGGCAGGTGTTGGCTCGGCGGGGATCCCCCCTGCCTGTGGGTCACAGCTGGCTGGGGATCCCTCTGACGGCGGGTGGAAGGTGCCTCGTCGTGACAGAGGGGTGTGGACCTGCCTCGGGCCGTGGTGAGGAAATTCAGGGGGTCTGGAGGTGCCCTGTGCCATGGCGAGGAGCCCTGGAGGTCCCCGTGTCGTGACAGTGGGGTTTGGAGGTGCCCCTGTGCCACGGTGAGGAGATCCAGGGGGTCCACGTGTCGTGACAGAGGGGTCTGGACCTGCCCTGTGCTATGGTGAGGAGATCCAGGGGGTCTGGAGGTGCCTTGTGCCACGGTGATAAGAAACAGGGGGTTCCTATGTTATGGCAGCAGGGTCTGGAGCTGCCTTGTGCCAAGGTGAGGAAATCCAGGGCACCTGGAGGTGCCCTGTGCCATGGTGAGGAGATCCAGGGGGTCCCCATGTTGTGACAGAGGGGTCTGGAGCTGCCCTGTGCCAAGGTGATGAGAAACGGGGGGTCCCCATGTCATGACAGTGGGGTCTGGAGGTGCCCTGTGCCATGGCAAGGAAACCCAGGGGTTCCCTGTGTCATGACAGGGGGGTCTGGAGCTGTCCCTGTGCCACGGTGAGGAAATTCAGGGGGTCTGGAGGTGCCCTGTGCCATGGTAAGGAGCTCCAGGGGCTCCCCCTGTCATGATGGGGGGTCTGGAGGTGCCTTTTGCCATGGCAAGGAAATCCAGAGGGTCCCCCTGTCGTGACAGGGGTCGGAGGTGCCCTGTGCCGTGGGGAGGAGCCCAACACCAGGCCCAGGGGGTCCCTGCCAGGCTGCCCTTGGCCTTGGTGCCCCCCCTCAACCCCCCCAGCCCTAGGCCAGGCTCCAGCACTCCCAGCACCAGCAGCACCTCACCAGTGCCTGGGGAGCTTCACCCCACTCGTGCGCCCCTGCAGGGACCACCAACCCCC